GTTACAATATTCTGTCAGTAGAACATCCATACTGTTCCAAGACACTGTGTTACATGTATCACAAATGTGTCCACAAACATTAATCATATTTCCAATATTTCATGTTCAAATATGTACATTTATAACATATTTACACACTGTTTACTATCATACACCATTTACATCCCCTATCAACACAATTAGAACTGTGCACGTGTGTGACAATTGGTAAAGCAGTCAACGGGGCATAGAGGAACTTTGCACTCAACGCACCAGGTACAAATGCATCTTCGCTTGCGTTTACTAAGTTGTGTGTTCTTGCACACAATGCAGGCACGTTTACCCATGTCCCGTGTGCCTGTGCCTGGCATATAACCAAGCTTGAATACAGCCAGAATGTCCTAACCCTTGGGTCTGTCAGGGACTGCATGATGCATTGTTGCTGGCAGCCCACGCATTGCAAAAGAGCCCTCCACCCGATACCTTACGAGAAGTTAACACTAGAGCAGCACTGAATGGGGTCGCATTGGGAGTCTCTTGTCAGATTTCACGAGATAGATATATATTGAAACTGCAACGTCAAAGAGGTGGGAACAAATTTCTAGACCACTTCACAGATTTTTTCACGCATTCGACGGCACCAACCATCATGTCACATATATCACCTAGCCTCATATTTACATTGTAGTCAATGACACAATCAGGTTTACATATCTGGAACCGTGTTGCAAAGTTCACTTTGCCACTGTCCAACATGACACCGGTGTGAATAGTTGTCAATATATTCACCTCGTGTATGTCCCTCCAGCGCACTGATAACATTTGTTCACACTTTCGCAGCTGGCAATTACCCACTGCAATACCAATCACTAGCATTTCTCTCCGGTTGGCCTTGACAGTGCCACATTCGCCGGTGTTGGGGTCAAAGAGGCATCAAAGCAGACTGGTGCCGCTTTAATGGAATGTACTGCTTGAACGCCAGTCGTCCCTTGACGAGGACTAGTTATTCATCAATCACGACACTCTGTCCTGGTACAAACTAGTCACGGAACTTTCCTCTCATATCACTAAATATCTTCTTCAACTTCCACAGTCTGTCCTGTCTGTCATTGTTATCATTGTTATCAAAGTGCAGGCACCTGAGAAGCAGCAGGAACCTATCATGTGACATGTACCTGTTGAACAAGGGGGATGGAAGAAGCCAGTCTTTCCTCCAATAGTCCTGGATCACATGTTTTTCTGAATACTTCATCATCATGCACAAAGCTAAAAACACGTACATTTCCTCATTTGTCATGTTTTTTTCCAAAATGTTGTGCAAGAGGCAGGTAAAATGCCAGAGTCAATGAGGGTGTGAGCATATCCTTTCGCCTCAGCAACGAGATGGCCCATGAATTCCTGATGAAAATATGCTGATGAAAGTATAGGGGAATAAGGGTGTCACACCAACATCGGTACCATCAAATGTTGGAATCTGTGGGTCAAAAGTCATACAATTCTCCTAGACAAGTACACCAGTGGCTTTGGTTTTGGCACCAACACCACCACCAGCACGAGCACCACCTGCACAGGCCCCCATACCACGGCTCCTTCGTCTTGTGCAAGAGCTACGTATGGGTAAACCAGGTGTTGAGTGTTCTGTGTAGTGTAGGCCTACCACGAACACCTGATGTCGAGGGAACACTGTCGTCTTTGTCCTCAGGCCACGTGACTCGCTGCCGCATGCCTCGGCGTGTTGCTGGGGCAGCAAAACCCCGCCTAATAACACCATCGCTGCTTGTAGTCGCTTCGTCAGCACTCCTTGTATCGGAGCCTGTCACTGAAACCCGAGAATGATTCATCACATACACTATTACTAAATAAACTCACATCAGGGAACATATATGGTGATGGTGACTCTAGCAGTGTTAACCCAGGGTGGCGAGGCAGGCTGGGCGAGGCACGTGTACGGTACACACTCACGACATTGTCCACCTCCGTGTCCCCATCACTCGAGTCCGACCCCTGTGTTAGGTATTTTTCAGGACTGTAGTCTAAATCATCATCCATCGCTCCATCATCTTGCAATATGATCCGTATTTCGTCCTCTAAGAGTCGTTTTGCTGGACTGCGGCTGACTGTGGATCGGAAGCTCATTGACGATGCATAACACATGGTTGCTTCTTTGAAACCGAGGGTCCTCACGGCCCTGGGGCATGCTGGGATTTTTTTTTTCAAAATGGCGGATGATCACTGAAGGCCTCAGGCATCCATTTCGTACCGATCCACTTTTGAATCGTGCACTATACCAATGAGAGCCTTAAGGCGCATTACACACCACCAAACGAGAGCCTCGAGCACGTTGGGCAGTGAGGTACCTTGCTGCTCCCCTCTACTCTTCTGCACTTTGCGTCTGGAGTTTCTGACGTAGGTATACCACCATCTCTACAGTGATCAGGTGGCTTCTCTAATGGTGTCTCACCTGCGGTCTTCTTCTCGGAAGCAGAATGAAGTCTCTTGGTGGTCTTTTCGCCACTTCCTTTACCTGCGTATGTTGTCCTCGGTGTCGGTTCATGTTGTGTTATCTTTTCTGTCTTGGCTTTTTCAAAACAGGCATCTTAGGCCAAATACTGTAGCCTCGTTTCGTGTGGTTCTGGCGGAGCCGCTCCAAGTTGCGTTCCCGGTGGATGTCACGCTCCGTTTCGTTAGCTTTCTTGTGCGTTTTTCAACCTCCGGCCTGCTCATGTGCCGCCTGAGCTTTCTTGTTCTTTCGACCGGGTGCTCTCTTTTCTCTCCTCTCGGTTTGTGGTGGGCCCTTCAGTCAATGACTGCTCTCAGAAGACTTTGTTTTTGTTGGCTTTGGCTTCTGGGTGTTGAGTCAGGGAGCTTCATGCTCTCCTCCAGCGCAAAGGCCTTTAATCGTTTGGTCCTGGTGGACGGTTTGTTACATTGCAACCGTCTCCTTTTCTGGTGGAGAATGAGACGGCGGGCTTCGGGAGGGGTTATTGATGGTTGATCAGGCCAGGGGTGTATCATGTTTTGTGTGTCCAGTTGTGGCTTTAAGCCGTTTCCTGCGCACTTCGACTTCTGTGTCCGGGGACTTGCTGTGGGTTGACCCGGTATCCCTCGTTCCCTGTTCCAGGGCTTGGGTCTCTCAGGTCGTCAGCAGGGTTATTAAGTGAAGCCAGCCTGCGATCTACCCTCGCTCCCATGATGATCAAAAAATCTCTGGCTGCTGTGTTTGGGAACATGTCTTTGGTTGGCATTCGGGCACGAGGGTTTTGGAGGTCGAACAGGGTCCTGGCTGCCCGATATCTCGTTAATGTGCCCGGCCCTCAGCAGTGTTGTCCCTTTGGATCAGTGGTTGAAGCCAGTTGTCTCGTCTTCGTCATGAGCCCCGCGGTGCTGTCACCTCCTGGGTAAGTCCATCTTTTTCCTGCTCTTTTGGTAGCTAGCTCCAGGGATCTGACAGGGCTTTCCCCCCCCCCCCCGCCCCACAGAAGACCAGTGTCGAATGTAATAAAACGCTATTTTCTGATTATAGCCCCGGAGGCTCCCTGGCAAAGTTCTCAGGATCCTCAAGCTGCCGTGTAAGGTCACGCACTTGAAAGCTGTACATAGAATACTAACTTTCGAAACGCGTCCTTACTTTTTATTTACAGTATAGGTACATTACTTTAAAAGAAGGAAGTTAATGATTCAATTGTATAAATCTCTCGTGTGGTCCCATTTGGATTACTGTATCCAAGCTTGGAGACCCCATCTTCAGAAAGACATAGCTGCTCTGAAGAAAGTTCAACACCGGGTGACTAAAATCATTCCAAAGCTAAGTCATCTCGCGTATCAGGAACAGCTGAGGGCCACAGGACTAACAACACTGAAAACCAAGCATGACGGGACAGATCTCATTGAAACTTTTAAAATGATAATTTGGTGGATGTTGATCCAAAAAATTATTCAAAAGGTCAAATGTAACAAAAACAAGGAGCAACGGGTTTAAGCTCAACAAGTCGTAATGTAGGACTTGGAACAGGAGTTGCTTTCTCACCCACAGGGTTATTAACACATGGAACTATTGCCTGCTAAAGCTGTAAATGCCAAGACTGTTGAATTTCAAAATCCAGCTGGAAAAGATTATCAATACAAATGGGAGGACCTTTGACATGACGCTGGCTTCCTGTCCTTGTCAATGCTACTAGTGTTAGTGGCCCTCAGGAAAATTCAGGTATTTCCTGAATTTGAAGCTAAATGACCAAAATAAAATATATATAACTATTTATGCAAACATGCCATGCAAATACTTCCTAATGAATTTAAGACAAATTCAGCTAATACTTCGTTCAAAAAGTAAAACAATGAAGTATCTAATATCCCCATTATAGTATCATAACCTTGTTCTATTAACTCGCCTAATACCTTACTTTATATAATTATAACTAAATCCACATAATTTCTCATCACCACCACCTTACCTAGTTAATAATTATATAGTAATCATGTTAACTAAAAAAAATTCATTACATACCTGTCACTACTTTTAATTCTTGTTCAAGAAATAAAATTTCTTGTGAAAGAAATTAAATTTCTAGTTCTTGAAAAAAAGAAAATTCTTTATTACTATCTATAATTATAACAAAATCAACATGATTTCTCATTATCACCACCTTACCCCATTAATACACAGTAGTAATTATGTTCAGTGAAATGTTCGCATTATATACCTGTCACTACGTTTGTCTTGTTCAAGATTGACTGTTTCATCTTGTAATTTATAATTAATTGCAATTTTTCTGTCAATTTAAATATTTGTCTAAAATGCTGTGTGTGTTAGTGGCTCTGCAAGAATATACCATTAAATTACCAAAATTAGTACATTCACAATCCATTGTACCTTCTTGTATATACAAAATATAAATAATAATGAAATATACAAACACTGTTCTAAGTAATCACTGTAATCTGATCCTCTTCATTTTTATTAGTAAAATGTTATTATCAATATTTTTAAGTAGAAGATTATTCCAAATACTGTATGTTGACAGCTGGAAGTGGGACGGGACTTGCAGAACGTGTCCTCCAGGGCAGAGCTCAGGATATTACAAGTCCCTCTTGGTGCCGACCCACCTGGCGCTTCCTATGTGTCTTCAGTCTTCACCGAGATATCATACAAGGGCGATACACCAAACTTTGCTGTATGTAAAGACAAGTTGGTATTTTTATATCACTTTCTGGAGAAAGCCCCTTCGGCTCCCCGGAGCTTACTGGGCTGATATGTATATGTGTGTGTGTGTATATATATATATATATATATAGATATATATATAGATATATATATATATATATATATATATATATTATATATATATATATATATATATATAGATATATATATATATATATATATATATATATATATATATATATATATATATATATATATATATATATATATATATATATATATATATATATATATTATATATATATAGATATATATATATATATATATATATATATATATATATATATATATATATATATATATATATATATATATATATATATATATATATATATATATGTCGTACCTAGTAGCCAGAACTCACTTTTTGGCCTACTATTCAAGGCCCGATTTGCCTAATAAGCCAAGTTTTCATGAATTAATTGTTTTTCGACTACCTAACCTACCTAACCTAACCTAACCTAACTTTTTCGGCTACCTAACCAAACCTAACCTATAAAGATAGGTTAGGTTAGGTTAGGTAGGGTTGGTTAGGTTCGGTCATATATCTACGTTAATTTTAACTCCAATAAAAAAAAATTGACCTCATACATAATGAAATGGGTAGCTTTATCATTTCATAAGAAAAAAATTAGAAAAAATATATTAATTCAGGAAAACTTGGCTTATTAGGCAAATCGGGCCTTGAATAGTAGGCCAAAAGTGAGTTCTGGCTACTAGGTACGACATATATATATATATATATATATATATATGTCGTACCTAGTAGCCAGAACTCACTTCTCAGCCTACTATTCAAGGCCCGATTTGCCTAATAAGCCAAGTTTTCCTGAATTATTATATTTACTATAATTTTTTTCTTATGAAATGATAAAGCTACCCTTTTCACTATGTATGAGGTCAATTTTTTTTATTGGAGTTAAAATTAACGTAGATATATGACCGAACCTAACCAACCCTACCTAACCTAACCTAACCTATATATATAGGTAAGGTTAGGTTAGGTAGCCAAAAAAAGCTAGGTTAGGTTAGGTAAGGTAGGTTAGGTAGACGAAAAAACATTAATTCATGAAAACTTGGCTTATTAGGCAAATCGGGCCTTGCATAGTAGGCCGAGAAGTGAGTTCTGGCTACTAGGTACGACATATATATATATATATATATATATATATATAACTTTTTAGACACTCAACCCACCAGGAGACTCGAACACTGGCCAACAAGGTGGCAGTTGCATGCTGTATCCACTACGCTATACTTCAAAGCCATAAAGAGAGGTAGGAATTCTGGGGTATTTAACCAACCAGAAATTCCAATCCTCTCCCAGGCGATGAGATAGTGTGGGACCTCGGATGCTCGGATGCTTTAGAAATAGTTCTAAACTTCAGCTACTGGAATAGGGTAGTCTGTGCATTAAGCATTTGGCACTGAGTTTTCCCATATAACAGGAACCGATGAAAGAGCATCCGAGGTCCCACACTATCTCATCGCCTGGGAGAGGATTGGAATTTCTGGTTGGTTAAATACCCCAGAATTCCTACCTCTCTTTATGGCTTTGAAGTATAGCGTAGTGGATACAGCATGCAACTGCCACCTTGTTGGCCAGTGTTCGAGTCTCCTGGTGGGTTGAGTGTCTAAAAAGTTCTAAACTTCAGCTACTGGAATAGGGTAGTCTGTGCATTAAGCATTTGGCACTGAGTTTTCCCATATAACAGGAACCGATGAAAGAGCATCCGAGGTCCCACACTATCTCATCGCCTGGGAGAGGATTGGAATTTCTGGTTGGTTAAATACCCCAGAATTCCTACCTCTCTTTATGGCTTTGAAGTATAGCGTAGTGGATACAGCATGCAACTGCCACCTTGTTGGCCAGTGTTCGAGTCTCCTGGTGGGTTGAGTGTCTAAAAAGTTCTAAACTTCAGCTACTGGAATAGGGTAGTCTGTGCATTAAGCATTTGGCACTGAGTTTTCCCATATAACAGGAACCGATGAAAGAGCATCCGAGGTCCCACACTATCTCATCGCCTGGGAGAGGATTGGAATTTCTGGTTGGTTAAATACCCCAGAATTCCTACCTCTCTTTATGGCTTTGAAGTATAGCGTAGTGGATACAGCATGCAACTGCCACCTTGTTGGCCAGTGTTCGAGTCTCCTGGTGGGTTGAGTGTCTAAAAAGTTCTAAACTTCAGCTACTGGAATAGGGTAGTCTGTGCATTAAGCATTTGGCACTGAGTTTTCCCATATAACAGGAACCGATGAAAGAGCATCCGAGGTCCCACACTATCTCATCGCCTGGGAGAGGATTGGAATTTCTGGTTGGTTAAATACCCCAGAATTCCTACCTCTCTTTATGGCTTTGAAGTATAGCGTAGTGGATACAGCATGCAACTGCCACCTTGTTGGCCAGTGTTCGAGTCTCCTGGTGGGTTGAGTGTCTAAAAAGTTCTAAACTTCAGCTACTGGAATAGGGTAGTCTGTGCATTAAGCATTTGGCACTGAGTTTTCCCATATAACAGGAACCGATGAAAGAGCATCCGAGGTCCCACACTATCTCATCGCCTGGGAGAGGATTGGAATTTCTGGTTGGTTAAATACCCCAGAATTCCTACCTCTCTTTATGGCTTTGAAGTATAGCGTAGTGGATACAGCATGCAACTGCCACCTTGTTGGCCAGTGTTCGAGTCTCCTGGTGGGTTGAGTGTCTAAAAAGTTCTAAACTTCAGCTACTGGAATAGGGTAGTCTGTGCATTAAGCATTTGGCACTGAGTTTTCCCATATAACAGGAACCGATGAAAGAGCATCCGAGGTCCCACACTATCTCATCGCCTGGGAGAGGATTGGAATTTCTGGTTGGTTAAATACCCCAGAATTCCTACCTCTCTTTATGGCTTTGAAGTATAGCGTAGTGGATACAGCATGCAACTGCCACCTTGTTGGCCAGTGTTCGAGTCTCCTGGTGGGTTGAGTGTCTAAAAAGTTCTAAACTTCAGCTACTGGAATAGGGTAGTCTGTGCATTAAGCATTTGGCACTGAGTTTTCCCATATAACAGGAACCGATGAAAGAGCATCCGAGGTCCCACACTATCTCATCGCCTGGGAGAGGATTGGAATTTCTGGTTGGTTAAATACCCCAGAATTCCTACCTCTCTTTATGGCTTTGAAGTATAGCGTAGTGGATACAGCATGCAACTGCCACCTTGTTGGCCAGTGTTCGAGTCTCCTGGTGGGTTGAGTGTCTAAAAAGTTCTAAACTTCAGCTACTGGAATAGGGTAGTCTGTGCATTAAGCATTTGGCACTGAGTTTTCCCATATAACAGGAACCGATGAAAGAGCATCCGAGGTCCCACACTATCTCATCGCCTGGGAGAGGATTGGAATTTCTGGTTGGTTAAATACCCCAGAATTCCTACCTCTCTTTATGGCTTTGAAGTATAGCGTAGTGGATACAGCATGCAACTGCCACCTTGTTGGCCAGTGTTCGAGTCTCCTGGTGGGTTGAGTGTCTAAAAAGTTCTAAACTTCAGCTACTGGAATAGGGTAGTCTGTGCATTAAGCATTTGGCACTGAGTTTTCCCATATAACAGGAACCGATGAAAGAGCATCCGAGGTCCCACACTATCTCATCGCCTGGGAGAGGATTGGAATTTCTGGTTGGTTAAATACCCCAGAATTCCTACCTCTCTTTATGGCTTTGAAGTATAGCGTAGTGGATACAGCATGCAACTGCCACCTTGTTGGCCAGTGTTCGAGTCTCCTGGTGGGTTGAGTGTCTAAAAAGTTCTAAACTTCAGCTACTGGAATAGGGTAGTCTGTGCATTAAGCATTTGGCACTGAGTTTTCCCATATAACAGGAACCGATGAAAGAGCATCCGAGGTCCCACACTATCTCATCGCCTGGGAGAGGATTGGAATTTCTGGTTGGTTAAATACCCCAGAATTCCTACCTCTCTTTATGGCTTTGAAGTATAGCGTAGTGGATACAGCATGCAACTGCCACCTTGTTGGCCAGTGTTCGAGTCTCCTGGTGGGTTGAGTGTCTAAAAAGTTCTAAACTTCAGCTACTGGAATAGGGTAGTCTGTGCATTAAGCATTTGGCACTGAGTTTTCCCATATAACAGGAACCGATGAAAGAGCATCCGAGGTCCCACACTATCTCATCGCCTGGGAGAGGATTGGAATTTCTGGTTGGTTAAATACCCCAGAATTCCTACCTCTCTTTATGGCTTTGAAGTATAGCGTAGTGGATACAGCATGCAACTGCCACCTTGTTGGCCAGTGTTCGAGTCTCCTGGTGGGTTGAGTGTCTAAAAAGTTCTAAACTTCAGCTACTGGAATAGGGTAGTCTGTGCATTAATATATATATATATATATATATATATATATATATATATATATATATATATATATATATATATATATATATATGTCGTACCTAGTAGCCAGAACGCACTTCTATGCCTACTATTCAAGGCCCGATTTGCCTAATAAGCCAAGTTTTCCTGAATTAATATATTTTTTCTAATTTTTTTCTTATGAAATGATAAAGTTACCCATTTCATTATGTATGAGGTAATTTTTTTTTTATTGGAGTTAAAATTAACGTAGATATATGACCGAACCTAACCAACCCTACCTAACCTAACCTAACCTATCTTTATAGGTTAGGTTAGGTTTCGTAGCAGAAAAAGTTAGGTTAGGTTAGGTTAGGTAGGTTAGGTAGTCGAAAAAAGCTAGGTTAGGTTAGGTTAGGTAGGTTAGGTAGACGAAAAAACATTAATTCATGAAAACATGGCTTATTAGGCAAATCGGGCCTTGAATAGTAGGCTGAGAAGTGCGTTCTGGCTATTAGGTATGACATATATATATATATATATATATATATATATATATATATATATATATATATATATATATATATATATATATATATATATATATATATATTATATA